ATAACTACTACAAAGAGAATAATATGGAATAAATTAATTATTGTAACTCTCCTACCAACCTGTTTTGAAACTGTCTCATTGCAATTTTTTTCTCAATAAAATTAATGAAAAAAATACTAAATAAATAAAGTTCCTGCTTAGGCAAATTTAGGCAGGTACAGGGAATCAAGGTTCAATCCCTGGAACTACCCATGCCAGCCCCTCCCTCTGAGCAGAGATTAACTGGCAAAAAAAAAAAAAAAAAGAAAGAAATAAAGAAAAAGAAAAAAGAAAGAAGAAAAAGAAAAGAAAACTGCTCCACATTGTTGGAGGTTCTGGGCCACAGGTCTGCTCTGCCCCGGGGGTTCTTCTGACTGTCCTGCTGTCTTCAAGGTTTACTTTCTGTGCCTTACTGGGACTTTGCATCAGAAAGCGGTTTCCTTTCTGGGAGCAAAAGGAAGGACTCTCTGCTCCTTGAAGGCTTCTGTGCCCACACACGCGGCTCTGCCCACCCGGCTCTCTGCACAGCCCCGCTGACCAGGCTGTCCGATGGCTCTTCTCCGCCTGTCCCTCGGGTGACAGGATCCCCAGGCAGGAGGCAGGGCTGCCCTGCTAGGTAAGCGCGCAGCCTGCTCACCACGCACAGGTGTGCAGGAGCCGGCTCCGTCCTCACGGGCAGTGTGGGGGGCTGGGGGCTGCGGCCGGGTGGCCAGGACCTGGGATGAGAGCTTTGTGTCTTGTGTCCTGTGTGTGCTCCGTGTCAGGGGGGACCTAGATGTCCAAGCAGGAAGGTGGCTCGCTTGCAGTAATGGCTGACACAGGGACACGTCCCTCCTCTGCTGTTCCCAAGATCTTGCTGTGCTGGACCCTCTTCACACTCGGTGGACACGGGCTTCCTTCCACCTTACCCTTGCTGATGTGGCCCTGGATGCCGGGGACCGCGGACGGCGCCCTTGGATCCCTGCGTGCTCACGTCCTAACGTCGCAGGCAGCCAAGTTACATAGATATATATTATAGGCAGTCACACAGGGTCAGGCCCTCGCAGGAGATAACAAAAGCCAGACACCTTACAACTGTGGGAGGGATGGATGCTCCTGCTGTAAAGCAGACCTAAAGACCAAGCAAGTGCTGACCTCCCTAAAGACCGGTATCCAGGATTGATCATCACTCAGGAAGAAACACTGTCTGAAGGCCACGCAATAAGGGCCTGTTTTACATTCATGCCCGCGTGCCACGTGACGCCTACCCCATTTGGTCCCGGGCCTAATCAACTGTACCTGAGCAAATGGTGCTTGTAATCCCATTGGGTGGGCATTGTGTCCCACGCCACATCTACCTAAGCCAGTTCCCCCTTTCTCCACCTTAGCCCCGCATGGTTTTACACTGAAAGAGTGCGCAGGAGAGACAGCTTCCGGGGAACAACCCGCTGGGGCCCCCAACTGTCCCTCTCTGGGACAGGAGCTTTCTTTCCCCCAATAAATATATTCTGCTTATAACCTCCGTTTGTTCCTAAAATTCATTCTTTGGTTTTAGAGAACACTAACTCGTGCAGGGCAGGTCGGGAGATCATTTTCCCCTGTGTCATCTGGAGGTTCCCTGTGTCATTTGGAGGTCACCCACCCGAGATCGGTTTTTCTCCCTGTATCAGTAGGCAGCACCCCGTCCTGGCTGCGTTGGATGCACGGAGGAAGGCGCCGCGCGCAGGCTCGGTCCGCGCCAAGGCTGCAGGGCAGCTGGAGGACGCTGCTCCTCCTTGTCGACGTAGAACCGTAGGACGTGGTTCAGTGAGTCTCACCTGGAAATGCTCTCGCCGTTTCACTTGTAAGTTCCTCAGAAAAATGTAAAATGATGACCTGTTTGCTCTGGATTATTGCAAAGAACAAAACCTGCAGCCAGGAGTGCAGACCGGAACCCATTTCAGAACGAGCACTCCGAGCGCTTATTCTACTGAGCCATCTCCCCGGCCCTCCAAGTAGATTAAGAAAACAGGAGCATGGGGCCGGGGAGATGGCTCAGTAGGATAAGCGCTTGACTGGCAAAGGCAAGGATCTGAGTTCAATCCCAGGTTCTGCGAAAAAAAAAAAAAAGAAAGAAAGAAAAGAAAAAAGGAGCAGGTCTACCGAGTCAGGAGTGAACCTGGTAAATGCAGGTATTTGAGGCGAGGTGACGCTGACATGCGGATAAACGACGTATCAGATATTAAACTGATAAGAGGGCTGGTGAGATAGCTCAGTGGTCTAAAGGCCCTGCCTAGCCAAGCTTAGGCAAGCATGCAGGGACCTTGGTTCGATCCCCAGCACCACAAGCCATGCCAGCCCCGCCCCCAGGGTGGGCTGAGCTGACCAAAATAAAAAAAGAAATAATGGAAACATTTTAAAAAAATAAATAAATAAACGGATAAGAACAGACACAACACTTGATCTTAGCCAAAACGCCGAGAAGCGATGACGCTAACATCTGGGAAGAGACCGGTGGACACAAATTCCTTAGCGACAACCATAATTTGAACTCTTCCCGGGCAGGCGGGAATTAACGTCATCCTCACTCAGAATAAAGGGCGGGCCGTGGAGCAACAGCCAGTCAGCGACGAGGAGGCGGCCGCAGGAACTGTCCAATCAGGAGACCGAGG